GTTCACTGCGGGGGGAGGGGGCAGCAGTGTCAGGGACACCCCCCCTCTCCCCGGACCACCCCTCAAATCGCCCAGAACTTCCCGGACTCTCTGAACTCCCTGCGTTGCCCAACCTGGACAATCGGAACCTCCCAGACCACCGGGACCCCCCCCGGACCCCCCCAGACACCCTCATATCCCCCGGACCCCCCCCCCGGGACCCCCTGAACTCCCCAGATCACCCCCAGCCCTCAGACCCCCAGACCCCTCATATGCCCTGGACCTTCCAGACCCCCCCGACCCTCTGCCCCCCCCCTCCCCGGCCCCCCAAACCCCCCTACCTTGGACCAGGGCGTTGCTGGGGGGCGGCGGGAAGGGGGGTGGGATGTCCACGGCCGTGTGCTCGGGTTTCCCCCCGCCCTTGGAGGGGTTGTTGTTGGGGGGGGGGCCGGGGTTGGTGACCACCAGGCTGTTTTCGGGGGGCGGGGGGTTGATGGGGGTGGTGGTCGTGGGGGGCGGTACCCGGCGCGGGGGGGCCCCGGCGGGGCAGGGGGTGTGGTTGCCCATGGCGGGGGGGGCGGGGGGCTCGGAAGTGGCCAGTTTGTTGTTCTTCATGTTGTCGATGTCCTCGGCCACGGGGGGGTCCCGGCGCCCCATGTCCTGCTGGATGGGGCGGGTGGTCGACAGCGTCGGGCCCGACGGCACCGGGGGGATCTGCTGCTCCCTGAGGGGAGGGAGGGAGGAGGGGGCTCAGAACGGACCCCCCCGGCACCCCCAGGAAAGCTCCGGGGGGGGGACACAGAGCCGGGAGAGCCAACGGGTATTGGGGTCTCTGTTGGGATCCAGAGGAGCCCCCAGCTCTGGGGGGGGGGTCCCGCCAACCGCGGGGGATCCTCCGCGCTCCCTCACCTCCTCCTGCGGTGCCGCCGCTCCTTGTCCTCCCTCCTGCCCTCTCCGTCGTACCCCGCGGGCGGCCCGTGCCGGTGCCGCCGCCGCCTCTCTCCGTCCCCGTGGTGCTGCTGCTCCCCGTCCCCGTCCCCCCGGGCCGGCCGGGCCCCGTCGCGGTGCCTCGGGCGCCTCTCGGTCCTCGCCGCCCCTTCCTCACCCTCCTCCGTCGCCCTGCGGTGCCCGCGGTGCCTCCGGTGCTCCCGCTCGGGGGACCCGGCGCGGCCGTCGCGGCTCCGGTGCCTCGGTTTGTGCCGCTCCCCCCCGTCCCCCGCCCCGAAACCGCGCTCGGCGCTGGGATCCCGCTCGGGGGGCTCCCGGCTCCGGCTGCGGGGGCGGCGCCCATGGGGTGGGGGGACCCCCCCGGGTGGGGGGGGCTCTGCGGGCCGGGGGGCTCCCCCGCCGGGGTCGGGGTATCGCGGCTGCCGCAGCGGAGCGAAGCGGGGGTCGGGCGGCGGGGGGGGGTCTCCGCCGCCGCCGGGGCGCGTTTTGTTGGTGTTGTTGTTGCGGTTCTCCTGCGGGTCCACGACCAGCGGCCGGTCCAGGTGGGTCTTCATGTCCGGGCGGAGGTGGCGAGCGTAGGGCACCTTCCAGCGCTCCTCGGGCTCCAGCTCGCTGTAAAGCGCCTCCCGGCTCGCCAGCAGGTTCTGCTTCCGCAGCTCGCTCGTGCGCTGCTCCCACACGGATTTGGAGGGTTTCTGGTTCTTCTGCTGCTCCTTCCTGCGGGGGGAAGGGAGGGGGTTGGGGTGGGGTGGGAGGGAGTCAAGGGTGGAACTGGGGATGGCTCTGGGATAGAGCCGGGATGGATCCGGGATGGCTCTGGGATCATGGATCCGGGATGGCCCTGGGATCATGGATCCGGGATGGCTCTGGGGTGGATCCGGGATGGCTCTGGGATGGATCTGGGATGGCTCTGGGATGGATCCGGGATGGCTCTGGGATGGATC